GATTCGTTGTTCTCTGGCTCTGTGGGTTGGTCTGGGAAGTAATTCCGATTCCCCTCCTTTTCTGTTAGAGACGGGAGGAGGCTCTGGGTGGGCATGTCGAGGGCGGAGGGCTCCGGAGTGGGCATCGTGCCGATTCCTGTCTCAGCTCGTGGCTCTGGGCAATCTCTTCACCTCTCCGGCCTCAGAAACATGGCCGCCTTGGCCGGAGGATGTCCGGGGGGTCAGTCCTGTACTGGGGGCGCTGACCCTTTTGTTCACAGCTGGGGAGCCACACCCCTTCCTCTCGCCTCCAAAGGCTCCTCACTGGGCCTGGGGCCCTCCAGTCCTACAGACCTAGACCCACCGGAGCCTCCTGCCTGCGTGCCCGGCTCTGCCTTCAGGGAGCGGCTGGCGGCACCACAGGGGCCTCCCAGGATGTCGGGTCCCCTATCCGTCAGCTCTCGCAGCCCCGCACCAAGTAACATACATCCCGAGAAAGCCATGATAACGTGCTGGTGAGGGGCAAGCGCAGAGCTAGGATGAGGCCTTGACACCCCCGCCAAGCTGCCCGCCACGCGGACCCCTGCCCTCTCCACCTATTCTGCAGCTTCCGCAGGAGCCAGCCCTGGGCCGCCCTGGAGCCTGGGCCCCGCCAGGCCTGGGCCGGGCTCTGCGCTGGCGCCTGCACTGACTGGCTTGCTCACTCAGAACCACGCCAACCCAGCGCTTCAGGAGCCTTGGGGAGCATCGCTCCTGCATCTCCTTGACCAGGCAGGAGACGCAGGCCCGGAGTGGGCGATGCCCAAGGTCACAGCGCCGGTCCGTGCCGGCACCAGGCCTTCCACGCGGCTTTTCCGATGCCAAATCCTCTCTTCACCTCATCTGGCTGAGCGGGCGGTCTCCCCTGCCTCCCATCGTGCGCCACACTGGGCTTTGGAGGTGCCACCCCAGCAGCCCGAGAGAGGTGGGCAGGGCAGGGCCGGCTCCTGGGTGCCCTGCGGGGGGCACTGCGCCCGAGTGGCTCTGAGGGGCTGGGTGTGAAGTGGGAGGCCATTAGGACCCAGAAGCTCTGGGAGCATCCTCGCTGCCGCTGCCTCTCACGCTCACTGCAGTGGCTCCGGCAGCAGCAGCCTTGGAGCAGCAGCCGGGAGGAGCTATCACATGGGACTCGGAGCTGCTGGGCAAAGGTAGGAGTTGCCGACTAGGCCAGGAACGGGGCAGACGGGGGCCTGGGGCTGGGTGCCGAGGATTCCTACGGGAGGTGGCTCTGTGTCCCGGGGACCAGCCCCCCCTACCTCATGCCAGGGATGGCTCCCAGGTACCCCGAAGGCAGAACTGGGGTGTGGGCATCTCCGAAGCCTAGAGATGGGGCTGACCTCCTGCCAACAGGAGTGCCCACATTCCGCAGGCAGAGAGGGTTCCCCATCTCCCTCCTCCCGTGTCACAGAGACGGGTCCCCACGTCCCAGGAATGGGTCCCTGGGCATCCAGGCCGATGGGCAACTCTGCATCCTGGGTGTGGGCAGCCGTGCCAGGGAGAGGGCTTGCGGGTCCCCGGAAAGCCCCGTGGCCCAGGCGGGCGTGCTTGTCTGAAGGAAGGCCGGGCTCGGTGCTGGGGAGGGCAGCTCGGTCCGGGAGACAGGTGCCTGTGAAGCCCACGGTGCCCTGTGGCCTCGGGCTGGGCACTGCTGGGCGTCTTGCACCCAGAAATGAGGATGTTTGTGACTTGACCATGTCCTTGCTCGAGGCCCAGACCTCAGCCCGGGGGTGGCAGAGCCCTCAGGTCCTGAGGTGAGGGCGGGGGCGGGAAGGGAGCGGTGGACGAGAGCCTCTGAGAGGCAGAATGATGTGAGCGAGGAGGGGACGGAGGCCGGCTTGCCTCCCACACCGGTGCCCCCCAGCCCGCTGCTCCCATCAGCATCGGCGAGCGAGTGGCGGGCAGGTCCATCGCTCCATCTGTCAGGAGGGGGACTCCTGGGACTTAGGAGTCAGTGTGGAGACCCTGGCGAGGCCGAGGGAGCCGTGGCAAAGAGAGAGGCCCGAAGCTTTCTTGTCTAGGGCTCCATTATGTCTGCACGGCGCCCACCCCCTGCCCCCATCTCCACGTGGCAACCATGTCTGCTTCCCTCCGTCTGGGACCCAGGGGGGCCCTGCTGGCAGCCCTGATGTCCGTCAGCCCGGGGGGCCTCTCCCCTTCGGCTCCCAGGGCCTTGGAGCCACGTCTCCTGGGCCCCTCTCCCAGGAGGAAGGGCTGGGAGTCATGGCCTGGGAGGAAGGGGCAAGGATACCCCCTATCTTTCCTTCTGCATTTTTCCGGGGAGACTGTCTTACGAGAAGCTGATGTCTCCACTTCGGGGCCCTCTCTCCCCCTTCTCTGCAGCCTCGGAATCTCTGTGGCCATTTTAGCTGTGAACTGAGGCCCCTGGGGACAGGCGCGTCTGCAGGCAGTTGTCCAAAGTTGGGGCTGCCTTGCGTCCAGGAGCCCAGGGCACCCTTTCCCAGAGCGGCTCCTGGCTGCCACACAGCTCACTGAGCCTTCTTGGAGGGGGCAGTGGCGGCAGGGATTCAGACGATCGATTTGAGTTTGATTCCATCCACAGATTGCACTGAGCACCCGGCGCCTGCACGGCGTGCTAGCCGTCGAAGGGGTGCAAGGTTGGCGGCGATGCCCCAAACCAGGGGTGGTGTTGGCTGTAACCATGCTGGGGGGTGGAAACCCATCTGTCCCATGTGGTCCTCTTTACTACAGTCAGAGAAATGATGGTGCTGGTGGTGTTTTTTAAATATTTTCAATCCTCACCCCAGGATATGTTTTTATTGATGTTAGAGAGGAAGGGAGAGAGATTGAGAAACATGGATGTGAGAGAGAAACATTGATCAGTTGCCTCCCGTACACGCCCCGAACCAGAGACCTGGGTACATGCCCCGCCCTGGAATCGAACCCGCGCCCTCCAATGTATGGGACAATCCTCCAACCACTGAGCCACCGGCCAGGGCCCGAATGATGGTGTTTTCACACTGAGCAACACCAGGCCCTCGGCAGCCCAGGAGCTCACAGTCATCACAGTTGTCACATGTGGAAACCTTGGAGGTTGGCTAGTCCAGTCCTCCCTTTTCACAGACGAGGAAAGCGGGACCCGGGCAACTGGTGACTTGCCCACAGAAAGCCCGCCCGACGGCAGGCCCACAGGCTGCGTCTCGGCTGCACACAGCACGCTAGACAGAGGGGTCTGGACTGCGGGAATGGCACCTGGGGAGGAAAACAATGAAACTTACATCGGGCAACTATCTCAATTGTGTGCAAACACAGCAGGGCAAGGAGCACATGGAACCGCTCTGAGCTGCCCTTGGATCCGGAGGCAGGGGAGACGCTGAAACCCCAGCCTCCCTCTCCCAGTTTCTTCTCTGCTTCAGGCTCACCGACCGTCACCATCTAAGTCATCTGCCCACTCACCCACCTACCCCCTTACCCAGATGCCTACCCGCCCCCGTCCCCCCAGTTCTGTGATGTGGTAACAGTCCCGGAACAAGAGGGCTTTGGGCCTGGGGTCCTCTGGTGGTCATCTCCAGTGACCAGAGACCTGGGGCCCCGGGGGCTGGGCGGTTAGGGACAGCGCCCCTCCCACCTGCAGGGACACAGTGGCCTTGGGGAGTGACCGAGGGGGTGGGGAGGACAGCTTCCTAGTGACTTCGGCCCTTCCAGCTTTGGGGGTAACTCAAAGAGCTGAACGCCCAGCTTCCTTTTCTTTTTTTTTTTTTAATGTATTGATTTTAGACAGAGAAGAAGAGAGGGAGGGGAGAGAGAGAGGTTTGTTGCTCCACCATTTCTGCATTCTCTGGTTGACTCTCGTATGTGCCCTGGCTGGAGATCAAACCTGCAACCTTGGCGTATGGGGACGATGCTCCAACCAGCTGAGCTGCCCGGCCAGGGCCTGCTGCTCCTTCTTACCCTCCCTCAGTATCCGCCCTTTGTCTTGGGGACGGTGGGTTAGAGCTAACCAGCTGAGCTGCCCGGCCAGGGCCTGCTGCTCCTTACCCTCCCCCAGTATCCGCCCTTTGTCTTGGGGACGGTGCGTTAGAGCCGTCTGTCCCCTTCGGGGATCTCCTTCCAGCCCCAGAGCAGGGAGAGACGTTTTTTAGAGACGGTTCCCATCCGACAGCTACTCGCTCAATGCCCACAGGTTCCGGCCGCCGTGGAGGCACCACTGAACTCGGCGTGGCACCCGGCCTTGCCACGTACTCGCTGTGTGACCTTCGGTAAGTCACCGACCCTCTCCAGGCCTCCATGCCATCGACTGCAGAACGGGGATCAGAATGACACCTCCCGGACAGGGTTGCGTGAGGAGCCACTCTACAGAGTGCTCAGCACAAGGCCTGCCGGGCGGAAAGCCTCTTAGAACGTCACTGCTCATTATTACCGAATCTCAGGGGCCTCCGGACACGGTCGGATCAGAATGACACCTCCCGGACAGGGTTGCGTGAGGAGCCACTCTACAGAGTGCTCAGCACAGGCCTGGCGGGCGGAAAGCCTCTTAGAACGTCATTGCTCATGATCAGTCTTCTTATTACCGAATCTCAGGGGCCTCCGGACACGGTTGTGAAGTCGGTGCTATTCCCTTCCTTTGCAGATGCCTTGACGAGGAAACTGAAGTTCGGAAGAGTCACTGCGTTAGCCATTCCCAGACCTCGTGTTCTTTCTGCCCCCAACTGCACTGCCGCTGCGAGGAGACGAGAAATCAGGAAACGTGTGTGAACAGCCTTAAACCCGGGGCACTGTCCCGGAGCACAGCAGGACCCTGGGAACCGGGCACGGATCTGGACTCTCGGGATAAGGCGTCCTCGACAGGGGAGAACGTATGGACCACAGAGGAAAGCAGGTGGTGACGAAGGAGCCGGAGACCAGTCAGCGGGTGGAGTGTTGAGTGGGCGAGGCTCCCCCATCCCTCACGTCTGTCTCCTCCGAGGTCATGGTCACCGAGGCAGACCCTGAGCTACCTCCTGGCGGAGAGATGAGCTCCTGAGCCTGTTACCGGCCCGGGGCTCCGCACAGCCGCCCGCCTGCCTCCAAGGCTGGCCCCCGGAGCGTGTCTGAGAGACTCCCGCAGGAGGGGCCCTCTCCCGCCACCCCCACTCACAGCGCTGGGAAGCCTGGGCCTGGGCTGGCCATCCCAGGGTCACTGGACTAGGATGGGGGATGGGCCTGTGACAGGAGGTGCCCTGGGTGTCCTCTTCCGGCCCCATGGAGTCCTCACCCATCCCCCAGTCATCAGGGAACTCTTCCACGCTGGGGAGGGCTCCCCAGACCCCCGGCCCCTCTACCGCCAGCGGGGCCCCGGAGGCGGGGCTGCAGGACGTGGCCTCGGAGTCCGTGGCCCTCTTCTTCATGCTCCTACTGGACCTGACCGCCGTGGCCGGCAATGCCGCTGTGATGGCCGTCATCGCCAAGACCCCCGCCCTCCGCAAGTTCGTCTTCGTCTTCCACCTCTGCCTGGTGGACCTGCTGGCCGCCCTGACCCTCATGCCCCTGGCCATGCTCTCCAGCTCCGCCCTCTTTGACCATGACCTCTTCGGGGAGGTCGCCTGCCGCCTCTACGTGTTCCTGAGCGTGTGCTTTGTCAGCCTGGCCATTCTCTCCGTGTCGGCCATCAACGTGGAGCGCTACTATTACGTGGTCCACCCCATGCGCTACGAGGTGCGCATGACGCTGGGGCTGGTGGCCTCCGTGCTGGTGGGGGTGTGGGTGAAGGCCTTGGCCATGGCCGCCATGCCCGTGTTGGGGAGGGTCTCCCGGGAGGAGGGGGTGCCCAGCATCCCGCCAGGCTGCTCACTCCAATGGAGCCGCAGTGCCTACTGCCAGCTGTTTGTGGTGGTCTTTGCTGTCCTCTACTTCCTGCTGCCCCTGCTCCTCATCCTGGTGGTCTACTGCAGCATGTTCCGGGTGGCCCGCGTGGCCGCCATGCAGCGCGGGCCGCTGCCCACGTGGATGGAGACGCCCCGGCAGCGCTCGGAGTCTCTCAGCAGCCGTTCCACCATGGTCACCAGCTCGGGGGCCCACCAGACCACCCCGCACCGGACGTTCGGCGGCGGGAAGGCGGCTGTGGTCCTCCTGGCCGTGGGGGGCCAGTTCCTGCTCTGCTGGCTGCCCTACTTTTCTTTCCACCTCTACGCGGCCCTGAGTGCTCAGCCCACGTCCACGCGGCAGGTGGAGAACGTGGTGACTTGGATCGGCTACTTCTGCTTCACTTCCAACCCCTTCTTCTATGGATGTCTCAACCGGCAGATCCGGGGGGAGCTCAGCAAGCAGTTCGTCTGCTTCTTCAAGCAGGCTCCCGAGGAGGAGCTGAGGCTGCCCAGCCGGGAGGGCTCCATCGAGGAGAACTTCCTGCAGTTCCTGCAGGGGACCGGCTGCTCCACGGAGTCCTGGGTGGCCCGGCCCCTCCCCAGCCCCAAGCAGGAGGCTGCGGCCGTGGACTTTCGAATCCCAGGCCAGATAGCTGAGGAGACCTCTGAGTTCCTGGAGCAACAACTCACCAGCGACATCATCATGTCAGATAGCTACCTCCGTCCGGCCCCCTCGCCTCGACCTGAATCCTGATGGGCTGCTGGACTCGCGGAGGGAGGTGGGGCCGGGCCGGTCAGGACTGCGAGGAGGGCCTGGTGGCTCACCTCTCCCCAGCCGGCGGGGGCTGCGGGGGCTCCGCACACGGCCTCTGCTTAGTGTTTTCTGGGCCGGGAACAGAGCCAGCAGGATGGACATGTTTGCCTTGGACATGGCTGTGATCCTTGACTACGGGGGGAGGGGACCTGGTGAGATGGTGACGAGAGTCAAGGGTCACGAAGGTGAGAAGATTGATGTCTCTCCACCAGTGAACTTTCCCCGCCTCAGGAAGCAGGGATGCTGTGAGGGTAGGAGCGGGAGGAGGGGGGGGCGGCAGGCCGGGTTTGGAGTAGTCCTGGGGACCCTTTAGGATATTTCATTTTTCAGGGTAATTGTCCAGGGCAGTAACTGTCCAGGGCAGTAACTGTCCAAGCAAGGTAAGAAAATGACCCACGTGGTCTCCTCCTGGCTAGGTTTCAAAAGAACTATCTCAGCCCCGTGTTTCGATGTGAGTAAATAGACCTTTTTCTAGTTTTAGGCCTGCGGTTTCCTTAAGGTGAGAGGACCGGCTGGGCATGACCCTTCCCTGAGTTCGGCCAGAAGCAAAGAGAAACAGCAGCCAGGGTGCCGCTCTCTCCTGCCCTCTGGGAACAGCCCTTCTGTCCTGTTGCTCCGTCTCTCTCCCGCACGTGGGGCATCAAGCTGGGGCTTATCTCTGCAGAGGCAAGAACAGGACAGGATGGCTCTTCCTCCTTGTCTTTTAGGACGAAGAAGTGGAAAGATTGGGGTTAGATGGCTGAAGGTGGGGGTTAGTATTTGAATTGCTAAGGTGGTTGGGTACAGAGAAGCTAGGTAATCTAATACCATAAATCTTTTCCCCCCCCTAGGACTGGCCTCCCTGATCTCTCTCCTCATGGCCGTGACCCACCTCCAGCCCCTGGACCATCGGGTACAGAGACTAAGGTTGGGAATGGGTTGGTCGGGTGGGGTTTCTGTGGTCCATTAAATGCCTCCCTGCTCCCATTCATCGCTCTCAAAATTAGCTTCAGTAACAAAGACTTAAATCTCTCTCCTATCGGCAGCCCTGGGTTGGAGAGAGGGCACAGGAGTGGGGCTCAGCTGTTCGCTGGTTGAGACTGTAGGAACGGTGTTGGTTGGCATTGGTGGCGGTATTCTCACGGGCGGGGGAAATCATTGCAGACTGGACAGGGCATCCACCTGGGACTACTTGTCCATCCACTTCCCTCAGCCGAATCGGGTAACATTACAGGGCTGAGGCAGGACCAAGGGGGTGGTGTAGTCTGTATTTGAACAAATGCCTGGCTCACTGAGCATCCAAGGGGAAGGTGGCCTGGTGGGAGTGGGATAGTTTCCCCTTTGAACAGCCAATAAATACTTTTTATTACAAAAGTTATACTGATATCAACATTGACTCCTTCGGTTTGATTCAGTGCATCATAGTTGAATACCCACAGAGAGGATGTGAAGACACTGTCTTCAAGGAGTTCATAGTCTAATTTGACCAAGTACCTTGTATTTTTTAAAAACATATTTTATTGATGTTTTACAGAATGGAAGGGAGAGAGAGTTAGAAACATCGATGAGAGAGAAACATCGATCAGCTGTCTCCTGCACACCCCCCACTGGGGATGTGCCTGCAACCAAGGTACATGCCCTTGACCGGAATCAAACCTGGGACCCCTCAGTCCGCAGGCCGACGCTCTATTCACTGAGCCAAACCGGTTAGGGCAGTACCTTGTATTTTTCCAGACCATTTACATCTGGTAAAGCCTTATAGAGTTCTGTGAAAAATATACTGGAGACTAGATGAACATGATTCTAACTTCTGAAAGTTCTGTCCGTTGCAGCAAGATACTGGCACAGAGGTTTCCTGCCGATTATGGAAAGTGTGTGGGTTGTAAATGAAAACTTAGTTGAAAAAAAAAATTGATTAAATGAAAATGGGCAAACAGCTTTCCCCTTTTAGATCTAGGAAAATTTCCAGGTTTTTGTCTTCCTAGTCTAGCGCCTATTACATTGAAGAAATCCCTTAGATACTATATACACCCAGGAGTCTTTTGTGATTGCAAAACATATCCTCCTCTCCCTTCCCTTTTAAGATAAACTCCTAGCGGTGGAATCTCGTTCCTAGGTGAGGGAAAACCTCTTCCAACATCATGATCTGCAGCAGGCCCTGAGCACTGCCAGCAGGTGGCAGTGTGAGCCAGTGGAAATAGAAAAGGTGCCTCTGTGTTGGGGGGGGGCTGGAGGAGGGTGTGCAGGGCTGAGGAAGGGGGGATTAAACATTGTCTGGGAGCCATCTTGTTAAATCATTTTGCCTTTTTCTTTGACTTTGCCCAGCAACCCTTCCTCCCCATACATCAAAGGAGAAAATTTTAAGTGCAAGGATGACTCTAATTCAGGCCGAAATTTCCTGACACCTGTGATCTCGCTGGCGTTTATTACAGACTTTGACATACGCTGGTTCGTTTGCCTTTTCTGTGATCTCGCTGGCGTTTATTACAGACTTTGACATACAGACTTTGACATATGCTGGTTCGTTTGCCTTTTATTTTTCCCCGAGTGAATCATGAAGGAGATAAACATTTCTCTTCTCTTATGCTAAGAACTTTCCCAACAGTTTCTGCCATGACCACCTTCCAGGAGTTTTCTCCTCGCCAGGATTGCTTGGTCAAGTTCGATATGTAATCCTTAGCTGGGAAAGTTGTTCTTGGAAACATTTGGCCCCTAATCCCCTGAAGAATCAGCAGGTTGAGACAACCCTTCTGTCGCTGCTTTTTCCTGCACCCTGGTGGTGCTGGGGTAACTCTCAAGCCTAGATGAAGGCCTTCTGTTGTCAGGTCTCCCCAGGTAACACCTTACAGTGGCGTGATAGAAAAGGGGTGCATTTGGGAGTCACACAGACCTACGTACTCACTGTGTGAACTTGGGAAAGATGCTTAACTTCGCTGAGCCTATTTCCTCATCTGCAAAAGTGGGGACAACATTACCTACCTCACAGGGTTGTTGTGAGGATTAAAAGAGATGACATATGGAAGCACCTAGCCATACCTGGCAAGTAGGTACTCAATAAACACTGGTTTTTCTTCCCTTTCCTCTTGCCCCTTTTCCCCGTTAGTATTGATTATGGGAAAACATGTCCCTTTTATTCTAACAGTCATTAGGGAATAAATAGGAGTCTTGTCAAACTTCAAAAAAAACTGGTATAAAGTTATGGGGGTGGAGGCTGTCTAAGGTGGCTCTCGTGGAACCTTTCTAATTATTGAATCATCACCATAAAAACCTTTCTTATACTCTAAGGCTTAGGTTATATTAGGGAAATAATTTTTTAAAAATATATTTTATTGATTTTTTTAGAGAGAGGAAGGGAGAGAGATAGAGAGTTAGAAACATCGATGAGAGAGAAACATCGATCAGCTGCCTCCTGCACATCTCCTACTGGGGATGTGCCCGCAACCCAGGTACTTGCCCTTGACCGGAATCAAACCTGGGACCTTTCAGTCCGCAGGCCGATGCTCTATCCACTGAGCCAAACCGGTTTCGGCTAGGGAAATAATTTTTAACCACAGGAAAAAGCTTTTGGGGCTACAAGAGTTCCCCTCCCTAGACTGTATGGTGGAGAGTAGGTGTGAGGCTCTTGGAAGAAGAGGTAATGTAGGGTCACCTTCGCGGTAGTACCCAGGATTATGAGTGGAAAAGGCTATCAGCCTGGGACTTTCATGGGGGATTTATTAATTTTCAAGTGATCCTAGAACTGAAAGGCCAGTTTTACTAGAACTTCCCTTTTTGTGTGGCACCGCAACAGGAAATTTTAGGAGATTCACAGGGTGCACTGGTTTGTTTCGGGTGTGGGGCTGAGGTTGACTAGTCCCGGTAGAAGTGCTAAGGCCCTTCGGCAGACGAGCTGCGGGGCGACGACGGGCTCATCCCGGGAAAGGCAGCGAGGACATGCTATGGAGGGACCACCCGCTTACCTTCCAGGGAGAGTCTGCCAGCGATTTCAAGGAGCCCTTGCCAACAACGCAGTAGCTGGACAGTTCTCAGGTTCACACAAACCTGCACGTAACGGCCCAAGGACCAGGAGCAGGAGGCGGCGGGACGGAGGGGGAGAAAGGGATCGCTCAGGTCCCAGGCACGGTCGGCCTGACAGATCGCAGCGGTGAAGCGTGGCCAGGACCCGGCTCTGAAGTCTGCTCCCATCCCATAGACCTGGCTGCGCAGACCCGGGTGGAGAACGTGTCCTACACTTGGCCAGGGACCCCGGGTTTGGCCAGTGAGAAATTCCCAGGCGGGTTATAGGTTCTTATCAGGAGTCCACCCCCCAACCCTCATCCAAAGCGGGGATGTGCCCTGGGGAGGGCGCCAGGAACTGAAGCCAGTCCCCGGTTTTTCTGCATTTATTTAAAAATGACAACCGAAAACATGCAAAGGGACTAAGGCGAGTTCCACGGGACCGGGACAGCCCGCAGAACCATCGCCGGGATTCGCCACCCCCCACCCGTACTTCCGCTTCCGGTTGCTCCTCCAGTTTCCCCAACAGGAACAGTTCTAGCCGTAACGGCCGCGGGGCGTTTCCGGAAGTGTCGTAAACGCCGGATATCCGGTTTCTCCGGGCGCTCCAGGAGCTGACCGAGAGGGCCGCCGCCCAGCAGCAGACGCCGACTCGGCCGG